TCCCATAAGATGATCCACACAGGGGAGAAGCCATATAAATGCATGGAGTGTGGAAAGAACTTTGCTTACAGGAGTGGACTTACTATCCACAAAAGGATCCATACAGGGGAGAAGCCATATCAATGCATGGAGTGTGGAAAGGCCTTTGCTCAAAGAGGCCATCTTATGCGTCATAAGATGATCCACACAGGGGAGAAACCATATAAATGCAAAGAGTGTGGAAAGACCTTTGCTTACAGTAGTGGACTTACTATCCACAAAATGATCCATGCTGGAGAAAAGCCATATAAATGCATGGAGTGTGGAAAGACCTTTGCTCAGAGCAGTGGACTTAGTAGCCACCACAAGATCCACATGGAGGATAAGCTGTATAAATGCATGGAATGTGGAAAGACTTTTGCATATAGCAGTTACCTAAGAATACACAAAAGGATCCACGCAGGGGGAAAGCAATTTAAATGCACGGAATGCGGGAAGACCTTAGCTCATAGCAATGATCTAAGAATACACAAAAAGATCCACACAGGAGAGAAAGCGTATCAATTCATGGAGTGTGATAATACCTTTGCTTACAGTAGTGGACTTACTATCCACAAAAGGATCCACACAGGGGAGAAGCCGTATAAATGCATGGAGTGTGGAAAGACCTTTGCTTACAGTAGTAGACTTAATATCCACAAAAGGATCCACACAGGGGAGAAGCCATTTAAATGCAAAGAGTGTGGAAAGACCTTTGGTTACAGTAGTGGACTTACTATTCACAAAAGGATCCACACAGGGGAAAAGCCATTTCAATGCATGGAGTGTGGAAAGACTTTTGCTCAAAGAAGCCATCTTATTCGCCATAAGGTGATCCACAAAGGGGAGAAGCCATATAAATGCATCGAGTGTGGAAAGACCTTTGTTCGGAGCAGTGAACTTAGTTGGCACAACAAGATCCACATGGGGGAGAAGCCATATAAATGCATGGAGTGTGGAAAGACCTTTGCTCAAATTGCCCATCTTAATTCCCATAAGATGACCCACACAGGGGAGAAGCCATATAAATGCATGGAGTGTGGAAAGGCCTTTGCTCGAAGATATCATCTTAATTGCCATAAGATGAGCCACACAGGGGAGAAACCATATAAATGCATGAATTGTGGAAAGTCATATGCTCGAAAGTATGGTCTTACTTGCCATAACAAAATCCACACAGGAGAGAAGCCATATAAATGCATGGAGTGTGGGAAGACCTTTGCTCAAAATGGTAGTCTTACTTCTCATAAAAGAATCCACACTCGGGAGAAACTATGCAGCAATAGCAATTCCACTTAGACTTATATTGTACTTACAATGCTTTACTGCACTCTCTGAGCAGTTTACAAAGTCAGCATATGGTCCCCAGCAATCTGAGTCCTCATTTTACCCCCCTCTGAAGGACAGCACTAGCCTTTCAAAGGTTTTCATAACTACCTATGTTAGTACAACTGGTCTGTTGTCATTCAGTTCCTTGATGGAAGGTTTATTCAGCACTGCGATGATAGTAGAGCATTTGAAACAAGAAGGAACATAGCACATCTCTAGTGATTTATTGAGGATTCGTGTGAAGATTGTGGCCAATTGGTCAGCACAAACCTTTAAGCGAGAGGAAGTTATCTTTTCTCAGCCGACTGCTTTTCCTGGCTTTTGTCTGTGAAATAGATCTTGCAATTTTTTTTTCTGTGATCAACAGAGGTTTTGAACCTAATGGGTTG